ACAGGAAAAGGGGTTACTAGCCCATTGTTCCCGGCATTTTAGTTGACTTTTACAACACGCATGGCTTACGGAGGAAAGATTCTTATTCCACTTCCCCATGGATATAAAAGGAAAAGTAATAAGACCAAGAACTATTAAGAATAAAATCAAAGAAAACTCAGATGAGTGTGTATAAATAAACATGTACATGTATGTTTAGTGTGACCTAAGTGTAAGTAGAAGTAGCAAGACGTACCTGCAATCTTGCATATTTATGAGACAGACAAAAGACACCAGCAATCCTACCATCATGTAAAACAATTACAGGCTTTCGTTTCACACTCACTTCGCAGGACAGTAGTACCCTCCTGGGTGGTTGCTGTCTACCAACTTACTACCTGATAATTATACTGATGTATACCTGTACCTAAATAAACTTACATGCTGTGCTGGCATGCAGGTACACATTAAAATCAGTAGGAGTTTTTTATGTCTCGAGACGTCATATTAGTAATGATGATAATAATCATCGAGTCTCATTAAATGTCATATATTACGTTAATATACATATTTTCATTAATCCATCTATGATATTTTTTTCAAAATTATATAATAAACACAATACATAACATATAAAGATGATAAATACACCCCACAATAGAATAAATAAACATAAATATGAGATGTGGGAGCCAGACGTTTATGAGTGAAGGCAAGAATAACATTTTCTCTAGTGCAACATCAGAGAAAATGTGTTACTGGGGGTAACTGTAGAAAATTATTCCTTTTGTATGTATGTAAGTTTATTCAGGTATACACAAATACAGTTACATAGAGTATATACATAATAGGATATGTGTAGAGAACCTAGGATAACCCAAAAAAGTCAGACAGAGTGACTTATTTTCATTGCCTTCACTCAGAGTGCCATTTCTTCTAAAAATGGTGTTACATGAGAATGGGAGTGTTCTTCTTTATTTATTCTACGATATCAATGTAGGCATAACTTGTACACAAACTGGACGTTTATACTTTGTTTGTTTACAAAACTTACGTTCGCCTGGTTTGTTTACATAACTCTGCACCTATCCTATGTACTCATATTCATTCATTCATTCATTCTCATTCTCTCTCTCTCTCTCTCATTCTCTCTCTCTCTCTCTCTCTCATTCTCTCTCTCTCATTCTCTCTCTCTCTCTCTCATTCTCTCTCTCTCATTCTCTCTCTCTCATTCTCTCTCTCTCTCTCTCTCTCTCTCCTCTCTCTCTCTCTCCTCTCTCTCTCTCTCTCTCTCTCTCTCTCTCTCTCTCTCTCTCTCTCTCTCTCATCTCATCTCTCTCTCTCTCATTCCTCTCTCTCTCATCTCTCTCTTCTCTCTCTCTCTCTCTTCTCTCTCTCTCTCTCTCATTCTCTCTCTCTCTCTCTCTCTCTCTCTCTCATTCTCTCTCTCTCTCTCATTCTCTCTCTCTCTCTCTCTCTCCCCTCATTCTCTCTCTCTCCTCTCTCATTCTCTCTCTCTCTCTCTCTCATTCTCTCTCTCTCTCTCATTCCTCTCTCTCTCTACTCTCTCTCTCTCTCTCTCTCTCTCTCTCATTCTCTCTCTCTCTCTCATTCCTCTCTCTCTCTCTCTCTCTCTCTCATTCTCTCTCTCTCTCTCTCATTCTCTCTCTCTCTCTCTCATTCTCTCTCTCTCTCATTCTCTCTCTCTCTCTCTCTCTCTCTCTCTCTCTCTCTCTCTCTCTCTCTCTCTCTCTCTCTCCTCTCTCTCTCTCTCTCTCCTCTCTCTCTCTCTCTCTCTCTCTCATTTATTCGTTTTATCTCGTTACTCACCTCTGACCCTACATTAAGACTACAAATATTTTAAGGTAAGTAATGAGTGAACTGTATATGCATTTTATTGCTCTGGGATGCTTAACCCTTTGACTGTTTTCGACGTATAAATACGTCTTACGAGCCAATGTTTCTGACGTATATATACTCAATAATTCTAGCGGCTTCAAATCAAGTGGGAGAAAGCTGGTAGGCCCACATGTGAGAGAATGGGTCTGTGTGGTCAGTGTGCACCACATAAAAAAAATCCTGCAGCACACATTGCGTAATGAGAAAAAAAAAAAACTGATCGTTTTTTTGGAATAAAACGCCGACTTTGAGGTGTATTTTCGTATAGTATTTATCGTTGTATTCGCGTTTTCATGGTCTTAGGTGATAAAATGGAAAACATATTACAGAAATAGAGATGATTTTCATTACTTTTACGATGAAAACGACCTTGAAACTGAGCTCAAAGTAGTGGAAATGTTCGATTTTTACCAATGTTCAAGAGTAAATAAATCACACCACACGTCCAATACACGTCAACTGGGGAGTCTAATATTCTTTCACTAGTGCACTGATATTATTTATACCATTTTTACAATAATGCAGTAGTCTGCATAACAGTAAATTTTGTATTTTTTTGTATGAATAAAAAATCAAAATAGAAAGCAATAATAATATAAGAGGGGCCTAGAGATGTGACTAACGAACAGAGCATATGTTATTTTAGTGCCACGAATGTCTACCTTGTTTATTCTGGACCCTATTTTGAAATTGGCATCTTTTTTATTTTGCGTGAAATTGGCCAAATTGCCAATTTCTGACCACCATATTGGGTAGTCCAAATTAGTAAATGGGAGGTTTCTTGTACTCAGCTGATAGATAAAATGGAGTTCTAAAGAAATAGCTATGAGTTTGGTCAACTGGAACAATGGAATTGGCTGAAAATTGGGCTCAAAGTCGGCGAAATCGCCGATACGCATATGTCGCCGAGACCGCTAACTTCGCGGGAGCATAATTCCACGAGTTTTCGACCAAATTTCGAACTTTTGGTGTCATTACCATCGGGAAAAGATTCTCTATCATTTCATAAGAAAAAATCATTTTTTTTTTCAAAAATTGAGCGACATAGAATGACAGTTTCAGAGAGGGGCCTGAAACAGTCAAAGGGTTAAATATCATAGAACAGTATGTGTGGGTGGAATGGCCTGGTATGGTAGCCCGGCTGACTACCATACACACCACACTTGATTTCTTACAATAAATACTACTCATCTCACCCTAGATTAAGACTACAAATATTTTAAGGTAAGTAATGAGTGAACTGTATATGCATTTTATTGCTCTGGGATTAACTTAAATGTAATAGAATATTATGTGTAGTTGGGGTGGCCTGGTATGGTAGCCCGGCTGACTACCATACACACCACACTTGATTTCTTACAATAAATACTACTTGTCTCACTCTAAATTAAGACTACAAATATTTTAAGGTAAGTAATGAGTGCACTATGTGTGTATTTTACTTTTTTATTGTTTTTTGATGCCTAGTTCTATTGCTGATTTAATATATGTTAGTGTAAACTTCTTCTTTCTTCTTTCAACACACCGGCCGTATCCCACCGAGGCGGGGTGGCCCAAAAGGAAAAACGAAAGTTTCTCCTTTTACATTTAGTAATATATACAGGAGAAGGGGTTACTAGCCCCTTGCTCCCGGCATTTTAGTCGCCTCTTACAACACGCATGGCTTACAGAGGAAGAATTCTGATCCACTTCCCCATGGAGATAACAGGAAATAAATAAGAACAAGAACTAGTAAAAAAATAGAAGAAAACCCAGAGGGGTGTGTATATATATACTTGTACATGTATGTGTAGTGTGACCTACATGTAAGTAGTAGTAGCAAGATGTACCTGAAATCTTGTGTTTATGAGACAGAAAAAGACACCAGCAATCCTACCATCATGTAAAACAAATACAGGTTTCCATTTTACGCTCACTTGGCAGGACGGTAGTACCTCCCTGGGCGGTTGCTGTCTACCAACCTACTACCTAAGTAGTGTAAACTTGTTATCTAGTATTTGTATGCATTTATAAGCAAAAAAAAAGGGTGTTCCACTTTATGGTGATTTCCGCTTTACAGCGGTAGCCTGGAACCTAACCTGCCATATAAGTGGGGCCCTACTGTATTACACTTGCCTTGTATTTTGAATTCTTAGTCACACAAAAAATTTAAGATTTACTTTTTCTCTAATAATAAAATAAAACCAAAAATGACTGGTCATGGTTTATGGTGTCCCAATAATTGAATCAAGACCTACTAAAAACTCATCAAAAGTAGACTGTGGAGTGTAGGAGGGCCTTACTCTTCTCAGGAATATTGACCAAAATATATTTCCACTCTATTGAGCTCAATTTCAAAGTCCATTCTTCCATTCTATCAAATAATACCAAGAAACTGCCACTAAAACCATAAAAAACGTCCAGGGAAACACTTCAAAGTCAATATTTTAAACCATATACACGGTCACAGTTTTGTTATTCCCATCATGCATCACGTGAGGCAAGATTTTTTTTTTTATACTGTGCACACTCACCAAACAGACCTATTCTCTCATATCTAGGCCAAAATTTACAGCTCACAGCTTATCTGAGTAACCTGAGCTCATGGCATAAGACGTAAAACTATGTGAAGGATCCTGGTCTCAATGACATAATTTTACATGACAGCCAATGAAAGGGTTGTCCCAATCCATCTCAACTTATTGTGTTTAACAGAAACACAAATTCTACTGATTATCAACATTTTCTCCCCTCCCCTCTGCATACAGTTCTGCAATAATTCAAGTGTCAAACACTTATACACACAGAGAATAGTGAACAAACCCAAATGTTTTAAAGTTGAAACTTGAATATTCAAGTTCCTCTAGGGAGAGCCTGATCAGTCAAACTGTGATGCTTTAGTTGAACTACATGCAACTAGCACTTATAGCCTCACCACTCAGGATGTCCACAAGAAGTTGTGGTCTAGGAGTAGAGGCGATTATCCCCGAAATTAACAACTGTTACATAAATATTTGAAGCAAAATTATCCCAATTATGTATAACCACAAAAAATAATAAAAAAAAAAAGGCTGTGCATAAAACATAAACATTTACTCCAATTAATTATAATACAAATGCATTACTAAGTGAAAAACACTTACCCTTGAACAAGACCATTTTCTTTATAGGTGACTTGAATGAATTTACCAAACCTACTTGAGTTATTGTTGTGGGCTGTTTTGGCATTTCCAAAGGCCTGATGAAGAAAGAAACATTCTAATCACATTCTGAATATGAATAAGTAAAATTTTAATTCATACTACTTTTAAGAAATACATTACAAATAATGTTCAATCTGTTAAAAATCTATAAAAATATATAAAAAATGTAAACATACAGTACTGTTTATGTACATATACAGACACTTGCATGATGGCAAGCATACAGACTCACATGTGCCAATAATGAGGGGACACACCTGTTCACAGGTACTGGAAGGATTGGTCCCAATTCTGCACACTGAAATTACTCTCAATGAAAGCAAGAACCTTGACAGACAGTGTAAAATACACCCATTGTAAAGCAGGGGAGCACTAAGTACACTAAAAGATAACTTAATTATAATACAAATAAGTGTAAAGGAATCAAGAGTTTTCGAAACTCCTCATTTATACATTAGGGGAATTACCGAGATTCCTAGTTGTCTTCAAGAAAGAACTTAATCATTTTTTTTAATCAGTTACTGATTGTCCAGCTTGAGGTGTTTACAATAAACTGGCTGATCAGGCCATCAGCCAGGAAGCCTGATATGGGACCTGGCTGCAGGAGCACTGACCCTCCACAAATGACTCCAGGCAATCTTCAGCAATAAGTCTCAACAATAAGAAACAACTGAAAAAGCAGAGAAGGCAATGCAAATTAAAAGAAAGCAGAACTGGAAATGGAGGCTCCTGTGGTTCAGAATCAAGATTTACTATGTCAGGACAAGTACAGAAATCTTCAAAAGGAAACTTGACCAGGTATCTCTGCCAAGTGCCAGATCAACTAGGCTGTAAATGAAATGTGCACCACTGGGCTACCAACAGCAACAGTTTGGTTAACCAGGAAAGCACCAGACAAACATGGGCCATGGCCAAGCTGCAGTAGGGAAACTATCAAAATCAGGCACAGGTTTATCAGAGGTATATCATTAGACCCTGAAGAACAACATCCACCACCTGAGGTTTAGTTTATAGGGTCGCATCAGTTGTTAACACTTAGCTCACAACCGAAGGGACCTAGGTCCCTTTCCCAGGCAGGTTGAGCCATATGGACAAGTCTCCTTACACCTGCTACACTTGTTAGTCAGCTTTTGTCAGTTACATCCCTGACAAAGGGTGGTAGTATACTTTAGACAGGGCTAGCTATAACATGGAAGTGCAAAGTAAAGAAAATACTGCAGTGAGAGAAAATATAGAGTATGGAATGCTGCCTGAAAGGAGACAATTTACAAAGCACCATACATACAAGGAGAAAGATGTGAAAGTGTGCATCTCATAGTGCACTATACTGGAGGCACATATGAATCTTGAACTACCTTCAAGAACTGCAACATGGAATTATTTAGGCCAGTATATAAAACATACTTTAGGCCCATCTTAGAGTATGCAGTGCCAGCAAAGAGCCCATAAATTTTATCAAGTACATGAAGTAACTCAACAAGATTCAAAGGTTTGTAATGAGATTAGTACAAGAACTGAAGAGGACAAGGTTATGAGAAGACACTTAGGAGTTCAACATATACCAGGAGACCTGATCATGGAAACCAAAGTATTCACTGGGTAAAACAGAGTGAAGAGGGACAGCTTGTTTGTGATATGGAGGGCAGCCAGAGGTAAAGAAGGCAGCTAAAGACTCAGGGAAGCCACTAGGACTGTCTCAGGTTAGTTTAGATAATATGAGAAATGAGAACTAGATCAGCGATTCCCAACCTTTTTGTATAAGTGGGTCATATTAGATAGTCAGGTATGTGCTAAGGGCTGATCTTTGAATCAATTGGAGAGTTAATATTAATAACACTAACAAGCATTACACTCATAAATAAAAAAAAAAAAAGTGCATCTCTTCCAAAAGTCACTAACTGTATTAGCAAAATACACTGCGCTGTAATCATAATTTCCAGTAACTACTTGATTAACATAATGGTATACTTGTAACACAATTTACCTTTTCATTCATTTTATTATACAGTGGACCCATGGATATCAGCTGGTGTGGACATTGGCCAAATCGGATTTCGGCCACTTTTTTGGCCGAAATTCTATCCTGGATTTCGACCGGCAACTCAGAAATCGGCCATATTGGATGCATCTGCCCGCCACGCCATGTCCATGAGTCAGTCTGGTTGTGTTTCTCGGTGAGTGAGCAATACTCCGCACATACATCCAAACATTTTGTTATAATCCATTGTTTTTTGTGGTTGTTAATTGAGTGCGACTGCAAAATAAGTCACATGGGCCACCATGGGCCAGGTGCCACCCCTTTGGTAAAGAAAGTGAGAAACGTGATAGAATTTAAAAAAGAAATTGTAGCAAAGTATGAAAGTGGTGTACGTGTGCTCGAGCTTACCAGGATGTATGGCAAATCCAAATCAACAATCACTTCCATCTTGGCAAAGAAAAGTAGAAATCAAGGAAGCTATTGCTGCAAAAGGGGTAAATATGCTAAATATGTAAATATCCCAGGATAGGGATAAACTGCCATTCTATGTCGCAAAATATTCGAAAAAAAAAATTCTTACCAAAATGTGAGGATTATTTTACTGAGTGTTTTAAGCCTAAAAAAAATTTTTTTGCCATCAGTACTTGCCGAGATACAGAGGTGCAAAGTTGGCAGAAAATGAGCGGTGTATGGCAACAGCGGCGAACGCCGCCCACCCGGTATTCTTTTATTTACTCCAATTTGAAGGTTTCTTGTATTTTCCAATATTTTTCTTTTCTAAATAACTTATGTGGCCTGTGAGACCAAAGTAAGGTGCATTGTTCAAATATACACTCATTGTTTACAACACAATAACTGAACAAACATTATCACTATTAGATTGTGTATAAAACTTGTTTATTACTATTGTTCCATAATATATATACATATGTACAATCACTGAACACTTTCCTAGAACTGCTGCAGCTTGTGGAACTCTTAGAAACATGGGTATATGCAGAGTGGCACTTGACACTCCTCACACATAAAATGAGTGTGTCTGCATGTTTGTGGGAGTTTTGTGGTATGTTCACATACAAAACACCCCTTCTGAGCACTTTTCTTGAAAGCAGTAGGAGGCAGTTGTATTGGGTAGTGATCACCAGGCCTCAAACGAGATAGCATGTGTTGGTAATTTCGTGGGCGCTGGTCTATTGCAGGTGTTGCTCCTTGGTACTTGGCGATTATTTGTCTAAGCATTTAGCATGGAAATATCAACAAGATGGAAAAAAAAGTTTTATATACCACTTATAAATCTTGCGTACACAATCAGCAAACCCAATCTGCATGTCACATTTGTCCACTAAGCGCATATTGAGGTTGTAGTCCATGACAGCTGCAGGTTTTAGGATGGGTTCATTTGTCTCTCTATTGTGCCTGCCAGTGTATGCCATTTCGTTTCGGTGAACTGATGTCAACAATGTGGCATCACGTTTATCATGTCACCGAAATACCATGATGTCATTGGCAGCAAAGGCCTGCACCTCACCTCTGCGAGTGCCAGCGTTGAACCTTGGCATATGTTTACGATTACCATGCACTGTGCCACACACATCTGTCAGGTTCACTCACAAGAAATCACTGAGTATGGGGCTTGTGTAACAGTTATCAGTATATAATATATGCCCCTTACCAAAGACATGGTTCCATCATTGTTCGAAACACATCACCAGAGATACCCAATAACTTCCTGGTATCTCTCAATGTATTACTGCCAGTGTACACAATGATATCCAAAACAAGACCACTTTTGCAATCACACAGTACAATAGCTTAAGACTATTTACTTTGTTTTATACTTAATTCTAACTATAGATTCACTACAAATCTTATGATTACAAGCATTGATCCTGATACCAACCTCTTATTTAATGACTTAAATGAATCAAACAGTTACTGTAATTACTACACTGCAGAACAATCAAAGGCACTTCTCAGTGCCAACAACAACATAACTATCTTTAACTACAATATCAGATCTTTAAGCAAGCATTACGATGACCTCATAGCATTACTAAATTCCTTACATGCCAATATGTCCATCATTACACTAACTGAAACCTGGCTAAAGCCTGATAGTACAGATGTCTATGCCATTCCTGGTTACACAGCCATACACAACTGTAGGCCAGACCAACAAGGGGGTGGCACAGCCATATACTACTCAGACCAACTAGAATGTATCACTAATACTTGCACAAGGATGAACAGGGGAATATATAATAGCTAAATTCAAATCCAAATACCTACAAAAACCTCTCACATTGATAAACATCTACAGAGTTCCACAGTCAAACATTAGCCAATTTAGTCAAAATCTAGGAAGTATGATAACTGATGCACGCATGAACAAAGATCACTTACTACTCTCAGGTGACTTCAATATAAATCTCCTGCAAGACCAGGACCCACACGTTACTGAATTCAAAACACAATGAGTAACTGTATGTTACTACCAACAGTAACAAAACCTACAAGAGTTACAGAGACTAGTGTTTCCCTACTTGACCACATCTGGACCAACACCATATACCCTTTAAAATCAGGCATAATTACAGATAATACCACAGACCACTACCCAAACTTTCCTCATAACAACTCTTGGTAAACTACCCCAAGACACTACTAAAGTCACCTTCAGACTTCACAATGAGGCAGCCATTAATAACTTCACAACAGCATTAGCAAACATTGATTGGCACACTGAGCTAGAAATCTATACAGATATTGACGAATGTATTAATAATTTTCTAAAAAAGACCCAATACCTCTATAACAAGCACTGCCCTAAAAAAACTAAACAGATGACAGCAAAGAGACTGAACAGTCCCTGGCTAACACCCAGCATTCTCAAATCCATAAATACAAAACACCAATATGAAAAACAGTACAGAATGGGTCACATAACCAGAGACCAAACAAAACGTTACTCGTCAATCCTAACCAGCCTGATAAGAAGGGCAAAAAAATTGTATTATGAGAACAGATTATCCCAACTTACGAGGTGATATAAAAAAG